GTATGAAGAATATAAAGTTAACTTTCAGTTCGTTTGAATTTGTGTCTATATTTTTTCCCTTTCTCCACTTGCTTATGATTACTCGTGCTGATAAAATGACATTGGCTGGTCACATTAAAAAATACTAAAAATATGGATATATGTTATAAATTATTATTTCACCTACCAATTAAATATAACATACAACAACAACATATTAAATATAACATACAACAACAACATAGTCTTTGAGTTCCCAAAAACATTATCTTTTAGTCCCCCAAACAAGTTGGGGTAGTAAATATAGTAAATTATTTATTTGTTTCACATTTTTCCTTTCACATTACTCACACTTCTTTATATAACTCTAAAGTTAAAAAATAATCATTACTACACATTAATCTATTAATTCACTCATTATAGAGTAATTTATTATTCAATATTTATTACATCATACAAATATAATTAACTAATTTTTTTATATCACATCATTATATTAAAATATCGGTTAATTCTTCCACTACATCTATTTTAATAATAATAAAAAAATATTATGAAAAAATTTCAATTACATCCATGTGCTAAAATCGACAAACCTTCCGCTCTCCCTTTTCATTTTGGCGGGAGAGAGATAAAGCGGGAGGCGCTAAATCCGACAGCCTTCTCCCCCCATATCCCAACTATTGTAGGCCGAGAGACGGCGGAATGAGCTCGTCAGCGGCGGCGGAAACCGACGCGGAGGTTCCGGACTTGGTGTGCGAGCTCGACAGCGTCCAGGGCATCGTCGACTCTCTCACCGCCGTACGATGGAAGCGCCTTCAGGTAAACCAAACCCCGCAATTTCTTATTCGTCTTACCATCAGCTATTCTTCGATCTTCCTCCTCAACTGCTAAGCGGTCGATTTTGGGCCTAATTTCTTCACAATCAGGACGCGGTTGTGGAATTATCCGAGCACGGCATAGTGATAATCGTCGAGGAAACGGGGTGTCTTCAGGCCAAGGTTTATTTACAGCGCGAGGTACTCTTAACGTTGTTTCTCGCATTCGAATTTGATTTTCATTTTCTCATCATATTCCATTTTTTTTGTGTCTGTGTAGCTATTTGTTAAGTACGATTATAAGGCGCAGGGGCGGCCAAGATTTGGGGTGAGCTTAGGACTGTTTGTGGATTGTCTCAATACATTTTCGGTCCAGGGCCGGTCCAGCATCCTCGAGATCCGGTATCCAGGGCCCGACATGCAACTTTTGCTCCGGTTTGTATTCTTTGGCTTCATCTCCTTTGGTTTGTTTGAATTTAAGGCTTATCCACCAATTGGATAATTATTGATAGATTTTCAAGAAAATCTGGTTTAAGTATATGGAATATGAAAGAACGACTGTGAAGTGGAGCAGATGTGTATTTCATCTTGTATGAAAATCGTTATTAAAAATGCTACAAGTACATAAATAATGTACATAGAGGTGTATGTACATTTATGTACAATTTTATGTACCCATAGCATTTCTCAATGGTTATTCATACCTCCTGGCTTGGTGAGTATTTGACAGTGTGTTTTGGGTGAAAGAAAAAAATACTGACCTTAATACAAAACTGATTGGATCGTGTACTTGCACTGGGCAGAGTACTCGAGAATCCCCATTCTAGACTATAGTGTATTGTTTCTGAAAATTCATATGTTACAAGCAAACTGCGTTTCCAGTGATTTTTGGTTTTAGAAAATAATGAATTGTGCACCGAGTGAAAAAATTGCAGATTATGAGTGAATTGAGTATTGACAAGGCTGAAGGAATGATATTACGAAATAAGGATAAATAGTTATATTAATTGTGAGGACTTAGTTTGGGTGTTATAATATCTATTTACCTAGAGCACGTGTTAGGTTCCTGGAAGATGTTAACTGTGGTGATACTAATGAAGGAGATGCTAGCAAATATTTTTTTTTTTTTTGCTTGGAAACTTGTCCTCGAATTAGTTGCCTAAGTGTCCTTGTTTGACCGAGCATTTATCCTGATATGGACAATTTTGTTGCTTATTTTCCATGTGGTAGGTCTGTTGATTCACCCGATGCCTGCATTTATGCGGAAATTAGGACAAGGATACCAGAAACTATCTCATGGGACTACAACTTTGAACCTGCTGGGAGCACTCCTCTGAGTTTCACGGTTAAGGTAATTTTGTTTCTTCTAAGAAATACTTCGAATAAAGAAAGTTCATTTTTAATGTAACTGAGAATTGAAACAGAGCTGTGGAAGTTATTTGCAGGAGGGGAGTAGGATAAATTACTGTGAAACTTTAAGTGCTGTAATTTCATGAATTTCAACTTCCCGTTGGGACCAATAAAAAATCTATTCATGTCATGTTGCTTCTCAATTAATTGACTTACTAGTATAACTAAGAAAAAGATTATGTTATTGTTGTGGTGATATATACTCAACATCGTAATCGTTCTTGATTGGTTGATATGTGTAAAACTTACTCGCTATATAAAGGTTTGCAATTAAGTTTTTTCCTGTTCAGAAAATGATTGAATAATTCAAAGATTGTAAATGCTTCTAATGTCTTCCTGTACAAAACATAAACTTGTATTTCTTATTTACACATACTTTGTGGTTGGTCTTGACATTATAGAACATTATTATGTTGTATTAACGTGAAATACAACCATCGCGTGACACAATTAGTAAATAGTAAATATGTATAATGCATTTTTTCGAAGAAAATATTTATTAGCATCCTAATTCCTAACCAGAATTGAAGTATCAGATTTGAAATTGATAGGTTCATTTCTCAACATTATATCCCTTATATAGTTCCAAGAAAATCGATGCTTGATAGTGATTAATGACAACAGTTACTTTTCTCAAGTCCATGACAATTTTTGAGGACTCTGAATCCTGACAATAACTACTTGGCTCTCCATTTCTGAATATGGCCGTGGCCACTCCTACATGCCATTTAGCTCCCCCATCATGATTTCATTACTGAGTAGTGAAGTATTGTTTTTCGGTTATGGTATTGGATTTATTACTATTATTTTTTTTCCTCCAGTATAACATAAAAATGTATCTGGTTTCATCATTTTTTGGAAACTTCAGTAGTTAAATTTTCCCATTCCCTGTTCTAGGCCGTAGCTTGTTCAGATTTTCCCAAACTGCCCATTACTTGTGAAGTCGAGCAGGTTTTGTCACAAAACAATATCTCATCTGAAAATTTCGATGTCATTTACATATGAGTATCAAATAATCACGTCATGAATTCCCCAAGGACACAACTGGAGAACACCTGGAAACCTGAGTNAAAAAAGGAGGATCAATAGGAAACCTGAGCTTTTCCTGTTACATTTTACACACTGTTCACTTGCGTTTTGTATCACTCTGCTACATAACTTCTGCTTGGGGATTCTGTTGGCTTACTAAACAAGCACTTAGATATTTGTCTAAGTTGCTGATATTCAGATTAGTTTCTTTGTCTGATACCTGATATAAAATATTATACAAGCATCCCTTTAAACACACGCCCCTCCATCACAATTTCTATCAGTAACAAGATACATAATTTTATAGTCTGCAGCCTTAAAGGAAGCTATTGATGATCTCGAATGGCCTGGGTCTAGCATTCAGATAAAGCTACAACCTTCACCGCCAGCTGTCATCTTCAGAGGCGAAGGTCATGGCGATTTGCAGGTACAAACAATCTTTCGCAGAAAAGAATTCTTCTGGGAGTCCCTCTTTATTTTTTTTATTTTTTATTTTTTTTATGGAGGATCACAATGTTTGTCGACCGATCATGCAGATCGAGTTAAATTACTATGCCAATACAGACCTTTTGATTGCGTTCAGTTGCGATCGGCTGACTTCTCACAGGTCCTTTGTTTTTTCTATTTTCAATCTAAAACGTATTGTGAAACAAATCAAATTATCCTTCTTCCTCCCTTAACCTTTCTGTTTTCTTTCTTCGAAAAAAAAAAAAAGGTACAAGTACAAGTTTTTACAGGCAACGACTTCAAACATACCGGGCAGTGTGATCAAAGATAATAGAGGGAGCAAATTGAGTATAGGCCGAGGTGGAATGCTCAAAGTTCAGCACCTTGTTTCAGTTGCTCGACCGACTTCTAACACTCACAATAATAATGCTCATCACACTAATGTTGATTCGTCTGGGTATCAGCAACCCAGCCGAATAGCTTACATTGAGTTCTTTGTGAAGCCAGAGGTGGAAGAAGATAATGATTAATCATCAGACTAGAAAAAGTNTAATTGTTCGTAATTCAGATCAACATATTTCATTTTGTCTAGAAAATAATCACACAAAATATATTTGATCTCGGCGCGCGCACACACATGTAAGCATAAATAAAATGTCATAAATTGCGGGAAATTTATGAAGAACCTTCAACTTCGTTGTTTTTCTTGATTAGAAAGGCTTATTGAGTTCTTTGCAAAATAAGAGGGAAAATAAAAAATTCAGGGATATTTGGTTCGGGGTTTTGAACCCGACGTGAATCGAACACGCAACCTTCTGATCTGGAGTCAGACGCGCTACCATTGCGCCACGGATCCCTTTGATACATATGGCCAGGTACTATTTATATAGATAACATGTTTCCATATTTCAGAAATATCTGCGTATACCGCATCCATATATACGTTGCGAGATAAAATTCGGTGTTAGATACATAATTGCAAGGTTAATTATCTTTTACATTCTTTTTGCTATCATTATTATTTTTTTTAGTTTCAATGGATATAATCTATTCTCATCACACACTAAAACCTTCATTTAAAAATGAACTACAGCCTACCAGTATGTTACACAAACCTTATGTAATATAAGAAAGTAAATGTATGAAAAAATATACAAACTTGAATAGCTACACATCACACAATATCTGCTAGGTGTGTTAACCTTGGTCAACTATGAGACACACACTTCATAAATCTACCGAAATTAATCATTTCCATTACTTTGGAATTTTTCCACGGTCTATATTTTGTTGTCTTCTCTTCTATTTTTTCGAGCATGTTTGTAATTACTTATGTTTTTACTAGTCTGACATCAGATATTCTCATGTGAACGGCTAGATTTCAGTTAAATTCAATCCCAGCCATTTATTTGGGGGTTAGAGCTATAGATCGGGCAGACAGTTCAATCATGAATTACTTATCAAACTGGTTTAGTGCTTCTTTGGGAGCACGTATGTAAAAGTCCGTTTCTAAAAAACTTATGCAAATGGACTTTTCCAGAAGTTCCAATCATTTCTATAAAATGGACTTTTTAGAGAGACGACTTATTCACAAGTTCATTCTTAATTTATCACCAAACATAATTTATTAATTCAAATGCACTTTGCACTCAAAAGTCTATTCTAGAAGTATATCTAAATAAGCTATTAGTTTTATAGAGTGAATCAATTACTAGTTAACTATCCAAAACTGACCAAAAATAGGGTGTGCAAATTGGTTCAAATTTTTAAATATTTTAACCAATATGTTAAAATATTTTTAATATAAATAAAAATAAATATTTAAATAGTTTACGTGGACCAGCAACTAGGATTTACTACATAAATGTACACAAATCTTCCTTATCTTTAAATTATAGTGTAAGGAATTTTATTTTAAGAAAAAATAAATTAATAGTCAATCCCCGACTAGTCAATATGCAAATGAGGTTGGGTCAACTAGGTCACCCATATCTCAATCAAGCTGTTATAAACAAATAGATGCCCAGATTCAGCTTCGTAGATCGAAATAAAAAATAAAAAATAAAAAATATAATAATAATAAGATTATTTCTCGCATTTGTTTTTATCACGTCAAAATATACAACTCGAATATATTGGTTCAACCTTTTCTTTTACCTTTTTCCAAGGGCGGTATGGCAAACCTGGTAAATTGAACATTCATGGACGATCATATATGTTTTCATCACTACTGAAACATTTTTTTCAGTGATGCAGCCTAACAGTTAGACGGCCCAACCCGTCATACTTCCTTCACTAAAATGCATACTTGTACTATAAAATATCATACTTTGTTTGTGTTATCTTTTAAAGAGTGACATTTCAATTTAAAAATATGCAAATATATTGAAAAAAAAAAAGATGCTACCTAATAGTAGCCTTAATGATAGAAAAATGTAACCATTGCCACATACAAAATCGAGCACAATTTCGCAAAGAAATTGCCCACGAGAAGAGACAAAATCATCAAGAAAGCAAGACATGTCCTCATTCCTAACAGTGAAGATGAAAAACGACGGTCATACGTGCAACTGTGTGTGTGATAAGTGGACATAAAAATAATAAAAAAAAAAAGAANAGAGAGAGTTCAAAATTTGAAAATTTGAAGACTTTTGTTCGGACAAAAATTCAGTACTATCCAGCTGTGTGTTGCTTGCAACCCTTGGGACCAAAATGTTCCGAGCTTCGCCTTACTTTCTTCTTGCATAGGTAGCAATAATGGCTTTGGCACGCCCAACACCGTATGTGATTATTATTCCCCATCTGCTCATTTCACGTGTGTACACACACACAAATGTGTTAGGGAGCGATTGACTACAGATTAAAATCTGTTTTGATTGACTGAATAATTTTTTAAACACCTTTTAACTCCAAATCCAACGCAATCTTAATCCAACACAACTCTCCTCAATATTATCAATATAATAAAATAATACTGATCAATCACCCTCACATATCATATCAACTTTAATTCACGTACACATAGCAGAAATAAAAAAGGGATGCAATGATACCTTGATATTGTGTTGTCCACACAAAGGGCATGGATGAGCAACGTTAGGGTGAAATGCGGCAAACTGTGCAACCACGTTAACGTTCATCCTTTCATTCCACCTCTGAATTTCTTCTTGCGGGAAAAGTTCACAGCTCCCACCATCCCTGCCCACCACCAAAAAAACAAAAGAGGGAGAAAAAAAAGAAGAAGAAAATAAAAAGATCGTCAGTAAAATCTCTGGAAATTTAACGTCGGAATTATCATATTTTGAGTTAAAAATGGTGGGATAGCAAAAAAAACCTGAAATGGTCATATCCGGATATGGCCTTGCTACAGAGGTAGCAAAAATATTGGCCACAATTATGACAAACCATCTTATTGCAACCTTCACTTCGAACTATAGCTAAGTTACAATTAGGACATCGTTTTGTGGAGGCGAAAATCTCCTTGAGACTAAGCAAGTCATTGATCATTGCCTGTTCGCGCCGCCTTTGATCTGATCCCATTGACGATGATTTTTGTCGCTCCTGTGATGAGAGCAGATCAAAGGTCCCAAATTTTGAATGATTAATTAAAAGGATAATTTCACAATCTCACAAAATCCCAAGGAAAAGTACCGACGTAATATCCTCAGCCCACATAATCTATTTTTAATGCACTTATGCATTTAAATCAAGCTGCGGCTAACTAATGCTGCGATTGGTCAATTTTTATTTTTTATTTTTTATTTTTACAAATATTCCTAATCCAATCGCAGCTCAAAACAATTTAAGTAACAAAAAATAAGAATACTTGAACAAAAACTATAAATACCTAAATAGGTCCCTAGCAAACTGAAAACACGAACCCTAAAAACCAATGCAGAAACTAAAAGAAGTAACTAAATAAATAAAAATTTGACCAAAAAAACTAAAGCTGAAAAAAAAAAAAAAAATGTTTTGGGAAAAAGGTTCAATGTTACACCTATGAAGATTGGAAAATTACCGCTAGAACCTTTAGCTTGATTTCAGGTGTCATGCATTCAACCCCAACATGACGTTTATCCATACAGAGTGAACAAAAGCTGTAATAACACTTTGAGCATTGAGCAAGATGATCTTTGTCCTCCAAACAGCCCGTTTCACATCTTGGACAGTAAACCACGTCTTTCATGGATTCCAATGTTTTCTCTAACAACAATGATTCCCATCGTTCAAACTCCTCCTCTTCCAATAACCGTTTAATCAAACCAGGCGGAATAATGCCATCACATTTTGACTCAGGGCATTTGATCTTGAATACTGTTCCATCCATCACATTAATGCTGGTAAAACTTTTCAAGCATTTCTCACAAAAGAAATGCTGACATGGCAGTTTAATGAACTCTGAACCTAATGGAAAGGAAAAAATGTCAATTAATCAAGTTTTCCATGAATAATTTAGACATCTTTCAAAATGATGCATCTAGATGGCGTTATCTACTTGTCCTAAATAAGAATAGCTAATGTTCGTCAAATATATACAACTGCAACCAACATGTGAGTATAGTCAGAAGGAATCAATGTACTAAATTTCTTACTACTACTCAAATAATATTTGAAAAAATCCGATTTTAAACTTTACAAACGACATTTTTCAGTTGACATATACATTCAAGTGAATAGCTATATTTCCTCTAGGCAAAGAAATACGTTAGGTGTCACAAACAACCAAATCATGAGATGAACAAATAAACCTTCACCTAATTCAAACTAATAAATAATAGGAGGAAAAAAAGAGCTACCAAGAATGAAAGTCGAAATTTGGATGATGTGAACCGATGAAATGATTTCGGTAATTAATATTGCTTGGGGACTTATTCTGTAGTTTATTTATTTATTTATTTTTCAATAAAAGCAGCAGCCGATAGGTTAATATTTCTACAAGACTTACCAGCAAACTCGCTCAGACAAATGCTGCATTCTTGGATGTTTCTGCAAAAAATCTCATACAACTTTTCATCATTGTAACTCTTGAGAGTAGGAATATCAATATTAGGGGAGGCACTTCCCGAAATTGCCCTCATCTCTTCTTGTCGATCATCGTGTCTTACACCATAGGGTCCAAGAAGTATCTCACTATCAAAACCAAGATAAGAGAGTGTACAATTATGCAACCAATCCACCCATTGGTATATCACCTCCTGCCCGGCATTTCGAGCCCAAATCGAATCGAGCTCACTACAAAGACGAGATATTTTAGTATGTTCCAACCACTGGACATATATTGTGAATTTGGGGGCACATTTGCTCGGGTAAGATTTAGGTAATAAACAAGTCAATATGATTGGTGGCAGATATTCCACTTTAAATGAGTACGAGAAATCAGAAATATCTTCTCTTCCCTTCTCAACAAAACCTGAGTTGTTAAACTTTGTGGTGATGCTCAATCCCTGAGGCACTTCGACATGAATATGAACCTGTTAATCATGTAATTAATATTTAATATTTGCTTCTCGAGAAAGAAAAGTAAGTTCTTGAGAGATACAAAATTTTTA